GAGAGAGAGAGAGAGAAAGAGAGAGAGAGAGAGAGAGAGCCGGTAAAGCCAGTCAAGTGCGCACTGCTCGCCGCGCATCTGAGCTTACCCAACGCCCACCGACCATTACCAACTCGATCGACCAATTGGGCGATCTGGTAGCCGCCCACCGATCTGGTGCACTCGCTACCACGTCGCCCACGCTTTTAAACGACGACCTTCCGCTTTTCTCTGTAACCGGTATGATACGCCGTTGCAATCCCTTGTCGATCGTTACCAGGACTGCCCAATATAATTTTGGTATTGAACGAAGGGTACCCTCAACGTCGAACGGAGGATATCCTCGGGGATAACCGATTGGTATGATCTGGCTTAATCTGATAAAACTAGGGTACGAAATAGTCATCTGTATATGCGCAGTATAGAAAAGTTTTACGAGGAAAGTCTAGTTAAATTGCCCTCGAAATTATAAATCGTCGGTTACTCTATTAGAGTATGATTTCACAAATCGTCAGCTGTATCTAACGAATGACGTGGGGTATACATATAGCTAAAAATATTTATACTCAGAATCTTCTATTGGAAGAATGACAAATTTGCGCGGATGGAAATCTCTCTCTATGTAATTTTAATTGTGATTCGAGGATAAATTACATGTATACAGTTAAAATTCAAAAAGGATTATCAGATATATGTAGGTATTTCCTATCACATTAGCTGATTTGGTAACTGCTAGAGACAATTTCTCCATAGTAGAAAATGTAAATTAACAATAGACACGCCACTTTTATTTTTAGTGTGTTATTTATCTTTAGTTATACATATACAATCTTCAAATTAAAATTCTATTGTAAAATTCATTTTATTTATTTTCAATTAGCCAAAAAATACGATATTGCTATTTTTCTTCTAAAATTTAATTGAAAAGTCTATCATCTATTACATTCAAATTATTCTTATTATATAATGAAATTATAATTTTCATTCAACTTACAATACTGACGAAAAATAACAACGAAAAATGACAACAATATTGATGAAAAATGGATTATAAAATATTTATCGTGCCAAAGACAGCTAATTTTTAAGTTACTCTGTATTAGGTAAAAATGTACACTGCACAAATATATTCGTATACATACGTGCTGCATACGCAAAATTTTCCACGCTTTTGATAATTGCCTTTATTAATATAAATTATTTTATCTGCGCCTTCGCCATCTAATTGAGATTAAGATTTATAAAATAAATATGAAATAGAACGTACGAGCTTGTAATTGTCATTTATTTGCGCATTGCCGGCACATCGTTATATCAATTCTTTAAGAAAAAATTACTCGGGCGTATCGATCAATTTCAAGACGCGTATGAATAATAGTTATATGTATACCTATAATTCATATGCTATAGCTACTTAACGTAAGTACGAGTATATCTATGCAGTGCACCAAAGATAGTTGTGTCAATAATGGCACTCATGGCGGATAGTACAGATAATTATTGATGGGAAGAGACAGATGCTGATAATAGTAATTTGGAAACAGCGAGAGCATTTCATACACTCCACCACTCTCTAAATATAGCAATATATCTAATAATAGTTTCTAATAATGAGGCGTTTTCATGAAACGTGTCTTTCTCGATATATATTATCACTCGCACATTACTTAATTTTAATAAATAAAATGCGCAAAATATTCGTTTAAAAAAATTTTATCGGTACTTATTACACAAGGATGTAGCTGGCTCGCTCTATGCAAACGCGTTTATATATGTTATACTCTTCTTTAATTGATACTCCACGTTTTTTAATGGATCGAATAAATCCGAGATCTGCTGGAAATTTGAAAGTTTATTTTTGATATCGCGTATTGAGAATTTATAGAGAATTCGGCTTTGTCATAATTATAACGTACATTGAGAAAAATATTTTGATTGTACAAACAAGAAGTACATTATACAAAATGCATTCTAATCATACCGATCGGAATTCCTTTTATCGTTATTGAATTTCTAATTATTTCGACTAGAATATTTGATAGATGTAACTATAAGTGTATCTGATTTATATACTTTTTACTGAATCTATCAGATTTTTAATTAATGCAATCACATATATACATTAAATTTTTCCAGTGAAATAATGTCACTCTTATCGAATTGCAATAGTTATGTTAATTACTGTATTAAAATAGATAATTCGTAATAGATTAGAGCATAAGTTAATAAGATTGCTTTGCTAGCTATTCAGTTTTTCTATAATATTCGGTAGGATCTTAATTCATTTGTAAGATTAGAACAATATGTCTCAATGAATACTGTCAAATATTTGCTCTTCGAAGACGGAGTGTGTTACATCCACACAAATCGAGCGCTTGTGTTCGATACTCGCGAGTTGCGTAAATGCTACTAATAACGGTTATTGACTGATTAATAAGATTAATTGTCTAGGCAGCTGAATAAATTGATTTTCATTTCATCAACTGTCGGATTAGGAGTAATGAAGTTATCTGAGCAAGAGACGACGACGCGGCGCGTTTTCCGCCGGTAAACCGTCGCTCGGTATCGGCGAACGAGAAATCCACGTGTTAATTCGCAAAAACGACTGGCAATTTCATGCTTCTAATTTTTACGTTACGTTTAAGAATTTTTGCAGAATCGTTTAATCGTTACGTTCGAGCAAAGAACAAAGGAAGGAAAAGTATAAAATCATCGGAGCCCGCGTGTTCCCCCGACAAATTACAAGCCGCGCGATTACTCACCGCGAATTAACGCAACATGTGCTACATTGTTGCAAAAGTCGCAAAACATTCGTGACTGTTATTATCATTCGTGCAATGCGACGTGAATACGCGCGGTCGTGTGTCGTGCGAAAAAATAACGAGTCAGGCATCTGGTGAAACAACTATTAATTACTGCATCAACGTATTAACTTTGTTGTTCTCGGACTTGTGCGGAATGAAGGAATCAAACGATGATGAATTCGCTGACTGAAATGATAAAAATTAATGCCGCCACACCGGAATTTCGTATTTCGTTGTAAAAAGAATACACGTGTCTTCTTATGAAAAATGTCCAGATATGGCAAGCTAAGAAACGATATCATTATTATCCCTTTGCAATCATTGCATACATCTTTAGCTTTTATTTCCGTAATGCTGGATATATCCAAGTATTATATTGTATGACAGGTTGTTGAGAGAGAAAATTCACGAGTTAAAGAGTCTTTACACTTGTAAAAGTTTTGTTCGCTCGTTTCTTGTTT